AGCCCCCGGAGCTCCCTGCAGTTTCAGTTAGCACGGGTGCTCACTGACATCTCAGATCCCAGCTGAGACGAGGAGTTAGGTCAGGCAGAGACTATGGCAAGAGTCTTGGTTTCACACAACTTCCTGATTTCAACAGATGTCAAGCATTAAAACAAGGCCAGTTTCAGAATGTAAAATACAAAAATCAATTGTATTTCTCTATACTAACAAAGAATAATATGATAATTGTGTTAAGACAACCGTTCTATTTGAAATAAAATCAAAAGGAATAATATACTTGGGAATAAATTTAACAAAAGAAGTACAAAGCTTCTACTTTGAAAACTACAAAACGTTGTTGAAAGAAATTAAAAAAGACTAAATTAAATAGAAAGATACCCCCATGTTCATGGATTAGAAGAATTAATATTGTTAAGAATGACAGTATTCCCCCAAATGGATCTACACATTAACATAGTTTCTGTCAAAATCCCCACTGTCTTCTTTGCAGAAATTGATGAGCTGACCTTAAAATTCATATAGAAATTTAATGGACCCAGAACAGCCGAAACAATTTTGAAAAAGAAGCACAAAGTTAGAGAACTCACTTCCTCCTTTCGAACTTATCGTAGTAATAATAATCAAAACTATAGTGATCAAAACTGTGTGATACCATTAAAAGGACAGACAGATAGATCAATAGAATAGAACTGAAAGTCCAGAAGTAAATTCTCATATCGTCAGTTGATTTTCATCAAGAGTGCCAAGTCAGTTCAAAGGGGACAGAATAGTTTTTCAACAAACAGTGCTTAGATAACTGGATATCCATTTGCAAAAGAGTGAATTTGGACTGCTTCCTCACAGATGACAATCAGTAACTCAAAATGGATTATAGACCTAATTTAAGAGCTAAAATAAAAAAACTCTTAGAAGGAAATAGAAAAAATTTAATGGCCTTCTGTGAGGCAAAGCATGAACAAAAGAAAAAAATTAGACTATCAAAATTAAATACCTTTATACTTCATGGACTAACACAATGTTTTTGCCAGACAGAAGGAGGGGAAGAGGCTGATAGACAACTTTAAACAAATCTCATGAGGTGACTTATTGTGTTTTCTTAGGGAAGAGTTAAAAGGAATTAGATGAAGACTTGTTTTATTTGTGTCAGAACTGAATGCAGTTACTGTACAAAGCGTGTAAAACTTCAGATGCTTTGTCTAGAACTGCTTTTTAGCTTTTAGGTATTTAACTAGTATTTCCCTAAGCTGCTCACCTGAGCTTGCAGAAGACTTAAGAGTTGCGTTAAAAAAAAAATGGAAATCATAGCAGTCTCACACACCTTTTCATTAGGGTACTACACCTGAGCCATAAAAGGGTGACAGCAAAAGTTGAAGGGACTTTTTTGTGAGGCTATAATCCAGTTTATCTCTTATGCTTCTGCTTTTATATTTCCACAAATCATTTTTATAGTTCCTCAGGTTTATGGCATTTTTATATAACTTACTTCACCTAATTACCGTAATAACTATAGAAGATAGGTATTATTAACCCTCACTTTATAGCTATGAAGAAGCTGAAGCTCAGAGAGTTTATAAGTTATGCAGAGAGAAAAAGCAATCTCTGGCCAGTCTTTCGAAATACAATAAAAAAAGAAAGAAATTGCGATAATAGTGGCGGTATGATTGTTGCTGTTAAGTTGCTCCATCATTCTGACTCTTTGTGATCCCATGGACTACAGAATGCCAGGCTTCCCTGTCTCTCACCATCTCCTGGAGTTCGCTCAAATTCATGTCTCTTGAGTGAGTGATGCCATCCAGATTTTCAAATGTTGCATATGTAATAATAGTATGTGATTAGACCATTGGCTAACATTAATAATGCTTTATAACCATATCATTGTATTGGTTACAATATGGGAAAGAAGGCAGAAATTCAAAATGGGACAAAAATCACTTCTGATATAACCACATCAGTGAACTTGAAACTACTGCCAATACTAGTGATGTGGCTGAGAAGACAAGATATTAGAGAGTTTAAATTCAAAAGCAAATCACTATTTTCAAGTTAAATGGTCAAGTGAAAGATAATTTTCCTAAATGTTCTCTAAACACCTACAGTTTGACTATGATACAAGGAAGTACATTAACATTTGTATTTATGATCAATCTGTGGATTCATGCATTCTGGAACATTTTGATTAATTGTTTGGTGGATTGGTTACTAAACCTTGTATGTTGACACATCCTATCTATAAGCATACAGATTATGTAAAAAGTACTAATTACACATTCTGAGACTGTACACCAACTTCAAATCTAGCTCAAGAGTTTCCTTGATATTCAAGGCTAAGTTCAAGGATAGCCATTTCTAAGATATTCTTCACCTTGATATTATGTATTATTGTGTCAATGTTTTTGAATCCCTCCTTTTTTAAATTACACTCAGCTAATGTCACATATGTGAACTTACAATAAATTCACTGGCACCAGAAATCCTTCCTTCTAACTATCCTCCACCCTCAACCAGACACTTTTGGAATGTCCTTTTGATCAGCTGTTCTCAGGAGGGGCTGAAGGGTTTGAGATTCCAGAAGAGACTAAGCATCTTCCCTAATCTAGTCATTAATCATTAATTGCTTTAAGAGTTTAAAATTTATGCAAAGTCAGTTCATCCATAATTATGCAATTATTATACCTTTGGGCATACGAAATGTAAGACAATTTTCTATAATTTTTAAGGGCAAGGTAACAGATGACTTTTCAGACTTTTTTCCAGAGGCTGTTCACAAGTAGGTTTTTTTTTTCTTCAAGAAAATAATTTTAAACTTATTTCCCTTAGGAGGTACCCCACGGGCCTCAGAGGGTGTTAAAGGTGGTGAAAGCAGGTATTATGTTTAATCCTTCAACTCACTTCACACAGAGTATTGAACTGTTTATAATAGTGATATTCTTCACAAAGTTTGGGGTTTACCACGAGCAAAACACGGATGGAAAACTATTGCTTTAAGGCAAACTATCGGGTGTCTGTCTCAAGATATATAGGAAGGTATGTTGAAATTCTCAGAACCCATGTCAAGACAAGTTTAACTCATTTCAACTTTTAAAAAAATTATGCAATTCTACTATTTTAGGATGAATATGGTGATTCCAAAAATAAAAAGCAGTAAGAGTTCATGTAAGTTGAGCATGGTTATTACAAGGAACTCACTTTACACACCTTTGTTTCTATATGTTTGTGACTATATATGTTTGGCCTCCTGAGTCCCCATAACTAATCCTTCCTTGTCCTCAAGTGAAGTTACAGAAATGCTAATAGTATTTCATACCTTCCCTTATGTTACTTCAAAGAATTTCTCCACTCTACTTCTTTGCCAGTTTGAACCAGTTGACTTGGTTTGCCTGACTTCATGGCAGTTCACTGACTTGTGGGAGCATCCCAACCTCTCTGCCTGTCTGCTCTGAACTTGCTATTTCAGACTGTGATTATTAGATTCCCAGGTTGCCCTCACTCAAGACTACATCCAGATCTCTTTTACCAAACTCTTCTCACAACCAGCCTCGATTCTCAAAACCTTATCCTATATGAGGTTATCAAGAAAAGAGCTCAGAGTAGACTTACTACACCAAAATGGAAGCACCTTTTACTCTAGATTTTAATCCTGAGCAAAACATTATGAGTCAAAGAACAACACGTCTTTAAAGGAACATAGACGAGATGGTGGTTCAGTCCCATGATTTTCCCTACCCTCTCCCCAAATCCTGGCTTTTTTAAAGAAATGACCTCTAGAAAAGAATTTACCACCTTCCTAAGATTCAATAATCATTCTTCTACTCCCTGGTAGGAAATTCATCAAATTCGTTTATATTTTAAAATTAGCTTTTAAAGTAGAAAACACATCTTTTTGCCACATCCTTGGAGACTAGTTGTTAAGACTATGAAATTTAAAAAATTGAATCAACTATAAAGTCACAGGTCAGTTTATATCAGAAAATGAAATCATAGGCCAGTTCTAAGACTCAACCTGTATAGAATGGGGCAAATACTATTAACTCCCCTCTGGGGTTGGTCCGGAGTCTTAAATGGGTTCCTCTGTGTAAAGTGATTGGAACAGTCTGATATATAGGAAACAGTAAAGTACTTTGTTCTGTGTGGTTATTGGCCGGAAGTGTTACTAGGACCAGGGCTTTGAGTTTTCTGCTCACCCAATGTGACCATACACTTTCAACCAGGTTGCTGAAAAATCACTAGCTAGTAAAGTGATGGATCATTTCCAATTACTATCCGAATCAGCAATTTCCTTTGTACCCAGGGCTTTGTTCCCTAGCACCACCCTCAAAGCTGCCAGCTTCTGTTTCTTTGCAAGAAAGAAGCTGAAAAGAATTTTAAAATGCTTTTCTATTTCACCATTCTTGCTCCACCCCACGAGAGCCCAAACAAAGTAAATCATATGTACATGACATGGAAATTTTATTTTCCAGGAACAATTTGGTTACATTTTGACATAGCACTTAGACTTACTAGAGTAAGACAAAGTCTGTCTTATTTACTTAACAAGTCCTTAGAAATACTTCCAAACCTTATTTAGCTATGAGGCCTGATCAAATGCCCTCCTTATTAAGATTTAATCTATTTCATTTAACTCCAATTTACAAAGAATTCTTCAGGCATTTTTATTAAACATTTTCATGGTAATATTTAAAGTCTATTACTATTATTTAGCAACAAAGGAAGAAATTTATCCTTAGAAAATGAAGTACATCACCCATTCACTGTTAATTCCCTTGCATTTATCTCATGGATTTTTTAAAAAATTAGAACTTGAGAAGGAACTCGGTGGATATGAGTCAGTGTAACGAAGTAGAAAGAATACAACATTTGTAGTTAGAAGACTGGGTTTTCAATCCCAGTTCTGTTACACATCAGTTGTGTGGCTCTGGGCATATAAATCCTTTGATTTTTCTGAGTTTTTCCTTATCCATTAAATGGAAATGACAATTCCTGCTTTTCGCTCTCTCTCACAGGTATTTTAAGTCATGAAGGTGGCCTGCTATGTAGAACTGTGACAATTCAAACTTGCCCCACCAACCTTGCTCTCAAGTCTCCTGACTCCTCCAGCTGGGTCTCCACTGGCCCCCCGCACCCTCAGGGGGTCCATAGCACACTTACCTACGTGTCGCCCTCTTGATTCAGGAGAGAAATATGCAGAATAAATTACCATTTATTCTTATTCACTGATGATTCCAGACAAGTAATTCTGAGAGATCCCACTGGGCTTAATAAAATTTGAAGACAGAAAAGTTTTCCAAACATGATTATCTTCTAACCATAATTCACTTAGGAAAAACTCCCATGTCCCCATTGAGTCCTGTTATCAGTCAGGTCACTCTGTCATTCAACAGAATGTCACTGCAAAAGTCATTTTTAAAGATCTCTCTCTCTCTCTCATGCACACACACACACACACACACACTATCTACATCCTGTTGGTAACTGTTAAAGGTTGGATAATGAAGTTCTTTTAAAATTCTCAACCATTCCTTGTAAATAAGCTCTGGTAAAACCAAATTTTAATAACATTTTTATTCATTCAGATCATACCTGCTTCAGGTTGTAAAGCTTTATGAAGAGTCAGAAATTATTTGAGTAGTCAGATATGCAAGATATATAGCTATAGATATGTACACACATATAATTTAGAAATTTGAAATTATTTACCTAAAGTTGATTATACTAAGCAAATAATGATCACATCTCTGTGCCATTACTTTATAGACCCAAACCAAGTCACTGAGACCAAACACACTTTTAAAAATTTTGGATGAATTTTTCTATCTGTAAAACTGAAAAGACCTATGAGATGTGCTATTTTTTCAACAAATTATTTGTAGCCTGTTGTGATCAATGAAAAACATATTTGGCTGTTTCTCTGCTCCTAACCAAGGGCAGTCACACAGCTGCCTAAGCAAATGCATTTTCCCACATGTTCTCAGGATTGGCCCCCATGGTGGCCTTTTCTATTTATTTTAATTTTAAAAAGTTAAAAATTAAATTTAAATTAGTAATAAATAAATTAATTAAAATTTTAATTTAAAATTGAAAAATGCATTTCTACTTAGAACACATCTTATTGGCACAGTAAATGTGAAGCTCCGAGTGCTCCTGGGGAGCAGAGAGAGCCTCTGGGGACCTGGAGCCTGAATCCACACAAAAATGGGGAGGGGGTCCTGAAATTCTCAGGAAATGTGAGGACCGGGTATAAGCCCCACCCTTGCCCACTCCCTCCTCCTGGAGCATTGCCATCTAGGTTGAAAATGGGTTAAGGCAAATGTCAAGGAAAGTCTACAAATGGGCTACATGTAGAGCGGTCCCATGTTGCCATGGTAATGGGGAGACAAGGAGGGGTGTTAAAAGCTGCTATTTTTGATTCTTAGACTGTTCCAGTACAGTTGTCAGAGTCCTCTCTGTGTCCCCTTCCACCTCCCCTACAGCCCTCCCAAAGTGCTGGGGCCTATTTACCAGTTGCCAAAGGTTAGCCGGTCGATTCTCCGTCAACTGTCTGAAAACTGAAAGATCAGCTCATTGTTCCTTCTACCCGACCCCTAGCTACCAATCTGATTTCTTCCCTGACTTAGCTGATGTGACTGATTGATTCCTTTATTGTTTTTTTGCAATGGCCAGACACAGTGTGGAACCTACTCACTTATGCTATCAGGAATAAAATTAATTATTTGGTAAGCAAAGAATTAAATGTATGGCTTGGTGGCACCGTTTTGCTGAAGCATCATTGTTGTCTATCCTATCATTTCCATACAGACCAGGTTCTACAAACCTCAGCATTTGGTGGGTGGGACTGCCGGTTCACTCCCCCTTCCTACTTTCTCACTACTTCTGTAAGTAGCTCTGTATCACCATAAATGAACTGGTTATCAGTGCATTCCCTTCACTACAAATGGACTCTTCAGTACCTCAGTTCAGTTCAGCTCAGTCGCTCAGTCGTGTCTGACTCTTTGCGACCCCATGAATCGCAGCACGCCAGTACCTACTCTGCCATAATTTGGCCACCTAATGCGAAGAACTGACTCATTGGAAAAGACCTTGATGCTGGGAAAGATTGAAGGCGGAAGGAGAAGGGGACGACAGAGGATGAGATGGTTGGATGGCATCACCGACTCGATGGACATGAGTTTGAGCGAGCTCTGGGAGTTGGCGATGGACAGGGAGGCCTGGCGTGCTGCAGTCCATGGGGTCGCAAAGAGCACGACTCAACTGAGCGACTGAACTGAACTGCCATAATGGACTGGGCCCCAACCTCTTCTTCTTTACATTGAATGTGATATGTTTTGTCAGTAGAGGGCGCTACAGGGACACCGCTGAAGAAAGGCGGGTTCTCTTCCCGGATTTGGCTACATCCCTTTGTCTTTTCAGGGACTTCCCTGGTGGTTCAGATGGTAAAGAGTCTGCCTGTAACACGAGACGGGGTTTCATCCCTGGGTCGGGAAGATCTCCTGGAAAAAGGGCATGGCAACCCACTCCAGTGGGTTTTTTCTTGCCTGGAAAATCCCATGGATGGAGGAGCCTGGAGGGCTCCAGTCCCTGGGGTTGCAAAGAGTCAGACACTACTGAGTAACACTTTGTTTCTTGGGTTTTGTTTTTAAACATTTCTTTTTTCTTGTCCAGTTTTATTGAGATATAATTGCTGTGGAGCACTTTACAAGGTGTACAGCATAATGCCTTGACTTATGGACATCATGAAATAATTAGCAGAGTAAGTTAGTGAACCTCCATCTCATAGAGATACAAAATGAAGAAATCCCCAGCATTCTCTTATGACGAGAACTCTTAGGTTTATTCTCTTAAAAGCTTTCATATATAACATACATCAGTGTTAACTGTATTTATCATACTATATATTATATCCCCTGGAGTAGGAAATGGCAACCTTCTCCAGCATTCCTACCCAAGAAAATCCAATGGTCAGAGGAGCCTGGCAGGCCACAGTCAATGGGGGTCAGAGAGAGTCAGACACGGATGACTAAGCACACACACATACACATTTATTTATCTTACAACTGGAATTTTGTACTTTTCGCTGCCTTCATCCAATTTCCCCCACACCCTAATTATGATCTGTTTTTCTGTGAGTTTGTTTTTTATTCATTTTTAATGGAAGGATAATTGCTTTACAATATTGTGTTGGTTTCTGCCATACGTCAACATGAATCAGCCGTAGGTATACATATGTCGCCTCCCTCTTGAACCTCCCTCCTACCTTCCACCCCAGCTCAGCCCTCTAAGTTGTCACAGAGCCCGGGTTTGAGTTCCCTGAGTCATATAGCAAATTCCCACTGGCCATCCATTTTACATATGGTAGTGTATATGTTTCCATGCTACTCTTTCCATTCATCCCCTCCTCTCCTTCCCCTGCCCATGTCTACAAATGTGTTCTCTATGTCTGCATCTCCATTGCTGTCCTGCCATCGTTCATCAGTACCATCTTTCTAGATTAAATATATGTGTTATATATGATATTTGTTTTTCTCTTTCTGATTTACTTCACTCTGTATAATAGGCTCTAGGTTCATCCACCTCATTAGAACTTACTCAAATGAACTTTTAATGGCAGAGTAATATTCCATTGTATATATGTACCACAGTTTCTTTATCCATTCATTTGTTGATGGACATCTAGGTTGCTTCCATGTCCTAGCTACTGTAACTAGTGCTGCAATGAACATTGGGGTACATGTGTCCTTTCCAATTACGGTTTTCTCAGGGTATATGCCCAGTAGTGGGACTGTTGGGTAATATGGTAGTTTTATTCCTAGTTTTAAGGAATCTCCATATTGTCTTCCATAGTGGCTGTATCAATTTACATTCCCACCAACAAAGAGAGTTCCTTTTTCTCCACACCCTCTCCAGCATTTATTGTTTGTAGATTTTTTTGATGATGGCCGTTCTGATCAGTGTGAAGTGACACCTCATTCTAGTTTTGATTTGCATCGCTCTAATAATGAGCAGTGTTGAACATCTTTTCTTGTGTTTATTAGCCATCTGTGTGTCTTCTTTGAAGAAATGTCTGTGTAGATCTCCTGCCCACTTCTGTTTGTTTTTCTGGTATCGAGTTGTACGCGCTTCACTCGTCGTGCTCCAATTGCCCGGCCTGTTAGCGGGACGTGTGTGAGGGGGCGACTGGCGATGTCTGCCACAGCTGCTTGTCTGCAGGCCCTTAAGGGCTTAGCCCTTCCTGGGCCTGGTGACCACCTTCCCACCGCCTTCCCAGTGCAGACACCCAGCAGTGCAGGCCTTACACACAGTGGCACTGCAACTCTCTCTGCCTCTGCCCACCTTGCTGCACACCTGCCCAAACTACCTGCACCCCAGAAGGATGTTTCCTACTTGCCTGATGCCTCAGGATGAGCTCTAGAACTGGCAACCCAGCAAAATGCTTCTCTGGGTTTCAACTATACCTTCTGAGCCCCAGGCTTAGGGAGGGCACCCGCCCAAGTGTGAGCTTCCCTGGATACTCTATCTAAGCCCTATGATACCCTTTACAGTTATCTACATCTTTATGGTTATGATATCACAGCTTAATAATTCTTTACATTCAATCTCCCCTGCTTATATTACTGTGTGATTTCTGTCTCCTGATTAGAACCCAACTGATACACCCTTTCCCCAAATGACCATCAGTTTGATCACCAGCCTCAACCTCACTCCTTTCCTGGATTCATTCTGCACCCACCAAGCCTCCAGGGAACTGGCCAGAAAGAGTTCGATTGATCTCTAAGTGGATGTTTCTGCTTAATTGTTTTGCAACTTTTCAAAATGTGATGCTCATCTTCTCTTTGTGAATAATGACTTCTTCAGATAAATGGACAAAAACAAATTTGTTAAAAACAACACTCCTCCTTGAAAGAGATGCTGTTTCAGCCTCCAAGAAACTCTTCTTTAATCAACTATACTTTCATTTCAAAGAAAGAAAGGATGTGTGTGTGTGTGTGTGTGTGCGCGCGCGCGTGCGCACGCGCGCATGCATGCTCAGTTGTGTCTGATTCTCTCTCATATCCATGGAATTTTCCAGGCAAGAATACTGGAGTGGGCTGCCATTTCTTCCTCCAGGGGATCCTCCCAGCCCAGGGATCCAACCTGACTCTCTTGAGCCTCCTGCTTTGGCAGGTGGATTCT